CTGCTCCCAATGACCATCTTCCTGTTTCTCCAGACACTCTGATGGTCGCTGTCTCAGTGGGGCATGTACTGGGTATGGGGTAAGTGGGTTGCCATGATCTAAGCCCCAAATCATGCCTCTGCAATGTTCCCTGCATGATTGGCATGGCCCAACCAATCCAAAAAAACCAGGCCCTGGGTGATGAAGCTTTTCTGTCTACCCACTAATTACAGTTTTTAGTGAGCTGTGTCTGGCCACAATTTCAAAATTCCATTCTGACAGCCTACACCATGGTCTCCAGCACGGGAGTCCTTTACCGCGCCGCAGCGTGCGGGATCAGGTAACACAGACAGATAGATCAAGGCTGTTGACAGTCTTTAATGAAGTGGTGGGGGCCAGAGCCGGACGGCTAGTCTCCAGGTCTTTATCTTGCATGGTGCAGGCCGCACGGGAGACGCAGTTGGTGGATCACAGAGGCATAACCCTGGGCACACAAACACTCAAATGAGCTGACTCTCCTGGTTCCACAGAAGCAAACCGGCGAGACTCACGGCTGACAGCACAGGGCACGGAGGATTTATGACTTCTTTCCGGCAGATTCTTATTCGCCTTGAAGAATCCAACAGAGGGCCGCTGCCTGGAGGAACCCACACGCTGTCAGGCATTAATCAACTCTTCAGAAAACCCACCAAGGGCACTCTGTTGCAAGGGGACAGCTTTGAACTCCAGCTGCCACAGCTGGGGGAACATTTGATAGTGGAAAACAATAAACAGCAGGGGAGGGAAGGTCATCTGGCTGAGAGTATTTAAGAACCTTCCCCCAGAGGCAGCAGCAGACAACGCATTTACATCTGATTGTCTCTCTTTCTGAATGGTCAGTTTCTGCCTGATACTGACGAGGGACAGAAACAGAATCCAGAACCCCAGGGCTGGACAAAAACACTCTGTTTTTTAGAAGACTTTGAACAACAATGAGAGACAAAGAATTCCCCGTGGCTATTCTGCCAGGAAGTGACCCACCAGTGAAGGTTGCAGAAAAAAGACATCCAGGGCTCAAGACCACAGAGGGAGATACTGTCAGGGCCCCAGCCTCTCTTGCCTCAGGTCTACTGATGCTCTTGGGGCTGGGGGAATGCTGACGTCGTCCAGGGGTAACTGGATCGAACCGCCACCCTGTGCACACATTAAGGCAGTGAGTCGCACGGTGCCATTTCTACCAGGTGGTACTGGCTTTTTTTTTCCTCTGGCCATACTGCTTTCTTGGTGGAGTCTTTACCAAACCACCCCTTCTTAAATCCAATTCACTAAATGTTGCAAGGGGTGTAAACATAAAGACCTGCCCTCCACCATCCAGAAAAGCAGTCCATAAGAGAAGAAGGATGTGCATTTACTTGTAACTAGTGCTGTAACACAGATATAAACACAATGCAGAAGAAACTTGCAGAGAAGGAAATAAATTCCACGGGGGGCAGACAAGGCCACACACTAAACTCTGTGCCAAATGCCACATGGTCCCTGATCCTAGAATGCTGGGCTCATCAAGATCTTATAGATAGATGTCTATCAGTGACAGTGTTTTCTCTTAATGTTAGTATTTAGTGTCACTATCAAATATTTTAACCTTGGAAGACCTGTAAGTGACCTGACAAAAGGGATTTGAAGGTATACTTTATGACCAGGGATGCTTGACTCAGAGGAAGCCCCTGCGTGAGGGTGCATCTCCTTACCTGGGCTTCCCATGGGTTCTGATTCAATGAAGAGCAGCACGTCAGGACTGAGACATGGTCACATTGATGCCAAAGGGATGCCATGCCACCTTGACACTGCCATGCAGACTTTAGGTCCAATTTTTGGCTTAAGGCTCACTTCTTCACAGGTGCTTCTCACTTCAGACACCAGCTACAAGCTCAGGGTCCACAGATCGCCCACACTTCTGCCCAGCTGGTAACAAATTCCCATCAGGGTTCATCGTATACTGGATTCCCATCGAGTTTAATCATATACCGGAATGACTCACAGAAGTCAGGAGAGCTCTGTACTCACAATTCTAAGGGATACATCCCAGGACCATGCAGATGTGAGACACAGAGGGTGAGATTTAGGAGGGCTCCAAATACGAATGAAGCTTTCGTGTCCTCAGGATGTGTCACTGTCCTGGCACATGGATGTACGACCAACCAGGGAAGCTCACCTGAGCTTCAGGTGTCCAGAGTGCCTATTGGAGTCTCAGTACGTAGGCTTCGTTGATTAAATGGCTATGTGATTGAACTCAATCTCCAGCCACATCCCCTCCCCGAGGCCAGACTGATAGGGGCACAGAGCCCTAACTCTCTAGTCGCACGTTGATCTTTCTGGTGTGACCAGTCCCCCGTCCCGAGTCTTCCTGTTCGCATGAATTCTGGTGTGGTCACAGGGGCCTGCCATGAGTAATAAAGACATCCTATCGCTCAGGAAATACCAAGGATTTAGAGGGTCCTTCCCAGGAACCGGAGACAAAGGCCAGCCAAATGCTCTATTATACAATGAAGTCCCAGTCTCAACCTCAGGGTCTCTCACATGAAAGTTTTCTGTCGCTCCCTCCGGCTTTTCACTCTCATGAGACAAAAAAGAAGGAAGAGCACAGTCTGGGTTTCCCAGGCTCCCCCGGAACCCACCCATCTTCGGACTCCCCAGCAATCCAGACACCTTCGTCTGCAGTGTCACCCCGGTCTCTGGGTTCCTTAGTCTTTGCACGGTCATGAACTGAGCTCCCACGTCATTCCTCAGAGCCAGACTTGCCGCTTCCTAAACAACATGTGCTGGAATCATGCACCTCAGTTTCCAAAACTGGGTTTTGTTTCCAAAGCTTTTTGACAGGCCATTCCCCTTCCACTCCTTCTGTGGTGCTGACTCCCAGAGCCCCTGCTTTAGTCACCTTGCAGTCCCGTGGTCAGCCATGACCCCACTCACTTATGCCTTTGTCACTTACCCTCCCTCAGTCTTTCTTCCTGAAAAGGCTTTCTCTGGGCATCTGAGTCCCACCCAGTCTCCCAAGGCTTTCTCAGCTGCTTTTTACCTCTTGGTGAATTTCACAGCCTCCCTCACCCTTCCACTGAAGCAGATGTCCTCGCTCACTTGGCAGTCGGCTTTTGAGATCTGGACTTGACATCACGCTGTTGAGCTGCACACATTAACTTCTGCCAGCATGGGGCCAGTCTTGGAAGAGCTGGGTGGTATTTTCATGTGTGCTGGCAGTCTCAGCTCTTAGGGAAGCAGCTCCCCCACTGATGGTGCCCAGGAGTGATTCTCAGTGAATCTGCAGCTGGTTTTACATGGTAGACAATCTCCTTTTTATTCTGATAAAACTCTTGGCTTTTCTTGAACTCTGTTAATATTTCTGCCTAAAAGTAAATGCAAAGTAACCAAATTTACAATCATCTCCAAAAAATAAACTACGACAAAAACTTGACTTTTCCTCTAAGATTTAACATAAAGTTTGAGGTATGTGTCTTCTTCAAGTGTTCATTGAGGGAGGTATTGTTTAATCTATTCTCCATTGCCTGTGATTCTGACATATGCCACAGTTAAACATCTCCAAATGACAAGGAAATAGAACTTCAGCATGCTAATGAAATAACCAGGTGATCTGACTAAACAGAACTGAAGACATGATTGTAAGCTCCGTCAGCATTTTCTTCTAATGGCACCAGGGAGCCCACAGTACTAACTGTGCACGCCTCATTATCTAGGCCAGGATAAAAGGACATTCACAATCTCTGGAGTGTCAAATTTCTCTTAATATTCACTTCGGTGGATGTTTCAGCTCCTTTTATTTTTTGATGCTTACTTGTCTTCTAGAAACATCTTTTTAACTTATTTCATCCCAAGAATCTTTGACACGAAATAGGAAAAAAAAAAGTGCCAACATCTCGAGTGAGTCACCATCAACCAGAAATGAGATATTGCTTTATAAATTCTGTACCAGATCTTTGCATCAGAGCCAGCTTGGGCTACCAGGGCACCCACCGTAGTGCATCCATCTGGTGAGCCGGGTATCCGTGACACAGAGCAAGCCTGGGGAATGTTCACCTGCCCTGGCAGGCCAAACACAGGGGTACTGTATTCTAGGCTCACAGGAAACTGCAGCATCATCACAGCCACACTACGTTTTGGAAAAGGGGATACTCAAAATTATGTGCACTTCCCTCCTATGCTTCCTTCCAGAAAGCCCATTCCCCGAGAACAGTTGCAAACCACTAATGGCTCTGATCAATGTGTTGTCTTTTTAATTGAAAATTATGCAGAAACCCTTTGCATTTGAATGTCTTTTGTTGAAAGTAACTCAAAATTATGCCATTGAAAGAATATCTTGAGTGTAAACACATCTGCGAACCAGCAAAGACTTCCCAGGGGCTCCTGGAATCCTCATTGAAATAACAAGTCCCCAATTTGTGATCCTAACACCACCAGATGGGATCAGGGTGGGTATGCAAGACCTTGGATGTCCCTGAAAGTTCTTCTTCATGCTTAATAAATCCTTCGGACCACTTTTCTCTTTGCCATTCACTTAGTTCCAAATATTCAGGGAATGCAACAGGTGTTCTCTATTCACAAGGGGTTCGAGGTGGCTGGTTTGTGCAGTGGGATCAGAGGTGTGACTTGAGCTGTCCCTGAATAGTCAAAGTACCACATGCGCAGGAAGGAGGCTTGAGCTTTGCTTTTGGTCACCGGGTATTTGCATAAGGACTACTCAGAATTTAGGAGTTAAATCTCTTAGTCCCAGCCTGTGATGTGTGAAATGTGACCTGGATTATAATCCAGATTCTTCCAGTAACGCTTGGTGAGAAAGACCTCCAATGAACTGTATATCTCTCTGTGCCTCAGTTTGCTTATCCATTAAATGGGTTTAAGAAGAATGCCTACTGCACAGGGCAGTTGTGTGATTAAGAGGAATAGTTATAAAACTGTTTGCCCCAGTGTAAAGATAAAGAAACAATAACTGTTGATAAAGACAATATCTATCCTTTAATGCTTGTTTCCCAGTGAAAACAACAGGCTTCTCTTCCAATCATTTTGGCAGCCGACCCCAAATTCACCAAGGCGGGCACTGAAATGGATAGAATAGAGAAATGAAAGCAATGGGTTCAGGGGTCAAAAGTGCTGCTGCACACAGAATGAAGACAGGCAGCTCTCCAGCCACAGGGAGCCTTTGGAGCTGCCATGGTCCCCAGGGAGCCAGGAGTGCGACTGGACTCTCTTTCCTTGGTGCTGTATCACCTGGGCAGCACCTGATGTAGACTGGGGCTAGGGCCCCGTGGCCCCTTCTGAAAAGGAGATGTAGCCATCTTAGTTAGGCCTGCTTATAGTTTGAGAAAGCCCCTATAGCCACATGGCATTGCTCAACTATGGCCACAGTATGGGCAGAGCCCGCATCCATCCACCGCATCGAGGACGTGCTTCTGCATGGCCTTTCCTGTCCCCAGGCTCCGTGCTCTCACTCCTGATTGCCTCATCCACTCGGCAACCCAGAGAACCTAATGCTGGTCAGTTGGGGGCTCCCCTTCCTGAACCATCACGTCAAATACGCAGCAGTCTTGTGACTGCCTTAGAGGGTACAACCTCCTGGACAGGTTGGTGACATTCTACAAGTTCACTGACTATCTTCATTTGGGCGCAACCTTTTCTCTAATGCAAACTGGGCATGAACTTAAAAGAATATTGACTCAAAAGCCACCGGTATGCACTTTTCCCCAGGGACCTAACCCCCTTGGAGTGTCCCATGCTTACCTCGTGCCCCAAAACATGATGCAACCCATGGGAAATCGAGTCACTTGCCAGTCACATGAAGGTCCCCTTGTTATTCAGTCAGCACAAAGGTCTTTGTGCTGGTCAATACAGCTGCAGGATTCTAGCTTTCCAAGAAGAAGCAAGTTGATGGGAGCAAACCCTGGAAGTGGAAACAGGCAGAAGCTTGTAGTGAGTATTTTCACACAGGGAAGATGGGGCTGGAGTGTTTAGGATGCCAAGGTAAGCAGACACACAAGCAGCCTGCTCATGCATGCACTCCTCACTTCTTCAGCGCCCCAGGGAGAGGGAAAGGGGAGCTGGGCCCTGGGCCAGGGAACCAGAGTCAAGTTTCCGTCGCTCACATGGAGCCAGCTCAACTCAGAGCTCCAGCTGCAGACAGCTTCCCAGGACAGCCCAACCTCAGGGCAGCAGAGACGCTGGGTGGTGAGAAGCAGGCAGAAGGGAAGAGCAGAGTAACATTCATCAGCTTAAAGAGGAATCCATGACTCCCATCTTCCTGGATCATCTTTTCCAAAACTTAGAAACAGTGCAACACAAACCCTGGGGTTGCTAATATTTCAGGAGTCTGTATTTGATTTCCTCCACTTTTGTAAAGCAACATCAAAGTACTGAAATTGACCTTCCTATTCCTCCCAGAACAGGGTGTACTCCCCACCATTCAGAGGCAGAGCCAAACCAAGAATGAAAAACAACATCCCATCGTCTGGTCCTGCCCAGCAACTTTATCCCAAGCTCAGTGAGATGCTGTCCCGAGAGCTGCAGTCGGGGAGACTCCTCCAGTTTCACAAGCACACCCTCTTGTAATTTCCACCTCTTTGGAGTCGCAACTTGGACAAATTGAAAATGGCACATGAAACATCTCTGTGTCTTTCAAAGGGAGGGAGCATCTCTAATGAGCTTTTGAAAGGAAGCACGGCATCGCCCAGTGGAAAGAAATGTGTAGTGACCACCCAGGCTTGCAGACGAGGCTCTGCCATCAAGCGTGGATACCAACTGCTGATTCCACCCGGTCTCACGTTAATTATTAGGAGTCAGGAGATCTACAAATGCACTCAGGGCATCCAGAGAGAGGCAGAATGGTGCTGGATTGGGAGCAAAGGACCTGGTCTCTAATTCTAGTCCCACTTCCTTCCTTCTTCCCCCAGGTCCATGACTCTGGCTTTGAGACAGCTGCTTTCCCAACTCTCGTTCATGGGAAACCCACCCTAGCTGAGCTTCCCACCTCAGCAAACTGGAGGGAACCCATGCCAAGTGCTTCCACGGCCGCGGGGATGAGAGGCCTACGCAAATATGAAATGTGGCATGCAGTCTCGCAGAAGAACATGTTCTCACCAAGAATTGTTACAGAGAGCTGCCTTGTTCAAACGTCCAAACCAGCTTTGGCAAAGGGGATCTCTCTTTCCATATTTGGCCAGAAATATGAGTTGAAAGCAAATGCTATGATTTTGAAATACATGGTGTATTATTTTTGTGAGATAGTCTATCTTTGGTGGTATATTCCACAGCTGATATCCAATACTGTTAAATGTTGAAGTCAGAAGATTTTAAACCAAAATAGGAGATAGCAATTAAGTAATGCTGTGCCCAATCTGTTGCCACTGGAGGCTGGTGCATTATCACTGGTTACAGAGCAAGTGGGGGATTTGTAACAAATATTAATCATGAGGAGTCCTACCAGGCTCACGTGGGAGAAGGAAAAAGGAAGAGGCTCTAGGATCAGGATGTCTCTCTTCGCTCTCTGCAGATGTTATAAGTGGATCTGGCCCTAAGAAACAATTTCTTGTTTCAAGATGCTCTAGGTTGGCCTTGGCGGGTGAGTGGAGATTTAAAATCAGGAAACACAGAATTTTGTGCATTCTTTGACATATTTTTTGACCATGTCTGAATTCAAAATGGCCCCAGTTAGACTGGTGCTTTGGAAGTCCTTTTTTTTTTTTAAGACGAGGATATTGAAATAAATTCACAGGCACAATTTTCTCAAGTCAAAAATATAACCTGATGAGTAGCAACTAGATGGGAGGAAAATGGGGTGAACACGGAATGGCCTTCATAGTATTGAGATCTGACCTCCCCCTGACGCCACACTCTGTGAGGCAGCTCTGGACTGCAATCCTGCCTGCTTCCCACTGAGGCATGGCCAGCATCTATAGAAGGCAAAAAGTGTCTGCAAAATGAAAGAGCCAGTGTGACAATGTGGCTCTGTCATTTTACAGACGCTTTTCGACACAGAAAAAGCTCTGGCTGCAGATTTAACGTGAACAACCAGAGGCCAGCAGGGTCAGCACCACCTCCACTCCAGTCTGGTCTGAGTGGTCATGGGGGCTGAGGCCATGACAGCTGACTCTTCATGAAAGCATCTGTCGAGGGGACTGTGTGGATCTTGCTAGATCGACATCTGGTCAAGGGTCTCCATGCTGTAAGACGAATTATACTTTCATTTTTTCTAGACAAACAGATATCACACAGAGTTTTGGAACAATCCTAACACACCTTCAGACTTTCGGATGAATAAAGTTCTCTACCTGCAAGTCAGCATAGCACAATGAATGCAGTAAGGAAGTCTTGAGTTTCCGTGGTTGGATTCGGACTTCATGGTGAAATGCAAGTAGGTCATTTGCCTAAGTATAAATATGTGATCTCAGTATTGGCCAAAAATGGGTAAAACCTCCTTTGGAAGCAAGGGTGAGAGGAATGGGGTCTGAGAGCTAATCCAGAAGCCCAGAATTCAGCCCTGGATTGCAGGGGCCCCCAGGCCTTTGAAAATGACTGGACATCTCAAGGCTCCCAGGTCCTGGTCAGGTTGAAATCCCTGAGGACTGTGGCTGCAGAAGAGTACAGTGATGGGATGGCATAGGGTAGGTCACTGGCAGAAACCAATTGATGTTTGTTTCTTTATAAGGTAGAATATCAAGATTTGGAGCAGAGATTCTCAAGCTTGGCTCACACCAGAATTCCCTGGGCAGCTCTGAAAGGTCACCATCCCAGGTGTCCTGTCAGATCCATAGAGCCGGAATATGGAGGGATCCAGTCAGTAGACCTTACCCTTCTCACCCACCATGAGATTTCACAGGGATAGAAACAACCTGTGCATGTATAAGCAGGTTAACTCTCATCAGGTTAAATCAAACCTAGAGGAAGCAAATGACAGACATTTCCTGACCTCCAACCCCCAGGCACTTTTCTTCAGATGATAATGAGTCATTGCCGAGCAAGTGGCACTTCATTCCCCACTCACCTTCCCACAGGGATACAGATGCAGTCAGCCGTGTCCTCCTGTGCCATGTGGGTGTGGGGTGGAGAGGTGGAGATCACTTCTCCCCTGGCCTGCTTCTCGTCTGCTCTATGGAGGATCCTACGTCCTCACACACATATGAAAGACCCTCTTGAGAACAATTCCAGGCCGCACAAAGCAAATTCAGCAGCTGAAACAAGGCTCTACCCTCATGCTTAGGAAGCACTTAATCAAACGTCTACACCTCTGCTCCATGCTTTTCAGGGAGCCCACACGTACACTCCACAACAATGGGATTATGAGGGGTAGGTAGCCATTTAATCACTTCTGTGTCAGAAAGGAGGCACCGTGCTTTCACACGGAAGATCCAGAGCAGGGGGGACACTTGTCCTCTACCACTGACAATCAAAGAAATGCAGAGGAGTGGAGATCGGTGAGTGCTGGGAGTGGGATTTGAAGCTGGACCTGCTGACGCCACCCCAGCATTCCCTCCACCGATTCTCAGAGCCACCCTGCGGCTAGTGCCCTGGGCGCTGACCTCTGAGAAGGTACTTCCAAGGGCCCACTGATCTCATCTGAGTGAAAACATTTTTTGGGAGTTCACAAACTCCTTATCTGGCTGGGCTGCCTTTCCACAGGGCCAAGCATGAGATAGGTCAACCCTGGTGGTGGGTTTCTTTGTGGGATTAATCCAAATGACAAAATAAGTGTCTTGCAGCCACGAGACCTGGCCTCTAGTCAGGAGTCTGAGATTCGAATCCTGATTGAGGACACGTCAGCCTTCTAAATCTCAGTTGACTGGAGACAGGGCCTGCATGTCCCAAAGACCCTGGGGCTGCTTAGAGGAGTTAGCACTCTAGAGGACAATCCCTGTGAGATCCTCTGGCAGGCCTGATGCCTGAAGCCTGCCTCCCCCACACCACACACCCGCACTTTTCCTCCCAGCATCTCTCCTGTCCCTGGCATCCACTTTCCCGCCAAGCCCCCAGCACCCTCCTGCCACCTGGCCAGGGCTCCACAGAAACCCCCAGCTCAAGCAGATCCTTGTATGTGGAAACTTCCCTTTCCAACCCTCCTTAACTTCTGAGTGGCAGTCCCAAGCCCCACCCCTAGAAAGTGATGCGATGGGCTGCTTTGCACTGAGGTGTTAATGACTGACACTAGAGATTAGAGTTGCAGAGGACCACAGGTGTCAAATGGGCCCTCTCCAATTACAGCTGAGGAAACCGAATGCTCACACACAAAGAGCCCTGTCCCTAGTCACACATCCAGCCATAGCCAGAGGAACCTCTTCAAGGGGCTCTCAAATCTCAGGCCCCCATTCCTTCTATAGATATGCCTGCCAGCTGGTGCAGCCTCTTTACCCAGCCTCCCACCCAAATACAAAATGGTGAGCCGTGGATTCTGCAGCACTTTTTCCACCAAGGCAGAGACAGGCAACATTCTTGTCTGCAGCCTCTGTGTCAGGAGATGAAACCAGACTTGGAACTCAGCATCTGGGTTCCTGCTACCAGCTGGTGAAACACTGTGCAGAATGTACATGAAAACTCCAGAGGCCCAGAGGAGCTGGCGCTGGTTTCATGCCAAACCCCTTACCAGGCATGATGAGTATATGGACCTTTGGGGGCCCATCTGCATGAGCAGCATTTGCTCTGCAAACAGCAGAGAAGCCTTGCCCATTTGTAAGCATGTGGTGCACACGTGTTTGCTGGCAGGGGTGTCTGCACACAGCCTGCTGAACAAACACATCTTAAGACTTTTTTTTAAAAAAAAAAAAGCTGGAAACCGTCATTAATAATCTGATTTTTATCTTTATAGGGCTTTGGCCCCAAAGGTATCAGGCTTCCCTATTATCACATTTCAGTCAAGCTCACAGCTCGCACTTGACACGATGTTTAATCTTGGCA